CCCCCTCCTCCGCATCCCTATCCCTACGGAGGGCGCTGGCCGCGTTCGCGAGCCGCGCACGCTCCGGGCTTGCAGCTTCTGCGAGCAGACTGAGCGCAGGAGAGACCAGCAAGGGCAGATGGGGCCAAATGGCGGTGTTCCAAAAAAGGGCCTCGCCTTCGAGGGATCGACGGGACGTCTTGCCCATCGGCGGAAGGCCCGCGAGAGCTGGCAGAAGTGAAGACAAGGGCGGCTCCGCTCGGCGGAGGGCGCCCGAGAAGGGTGTATGTACACCAGCGCGCCAGAGCTTTCCGGAGCCGGCCGAATGGCGACGCGGCTGCCTGGCGCTGCGACTGGGCATCGCGAGAGGAGGAGAAGGAGGAGGAGGAGGAGGAGAAGCCGCGGCGCAGAGACCGCCCCAGACCTCCGACACTGTGATGCTTTTTGTTCACGAGGCTTGGACTTGTCCATATCACCGCCTGGGGAACCGACGTCCTGGGACATCGAGATTTTACCAGCTCGCTTCGCTTCGCCTTAAACAGATCGCATGGGGCCAGAGAGGCCCGCCACGACCCGTACACGCCAAGACCGCGATACGCTTCAGCTAGAAGGTCCATGGGTCACGCGAGGCTGACAGGACCGATGGACTCTACTGGCTCAGCGGGCTCAAAGGCCTCTCCGCCGCCATCGGGGCTTAGAGGCTCGGAGCCTTAATTGGGAAGAGGGGTAAGTCAGCGAGCGCGGCTCATGGGGTCATGAGTTTCCGAGGGCCCGCAGGCGTGATTGGGTGCACAGGGGTCCTCGGGCTGATGGGCTCGCTACGGTTCTAGGGCTTGTAAGGGGCCTGGGCAAAGCAGAAATCACGGGCCCTAGGGCCCCACAGCGGGCGGGCTTATCGTAGGGCTCATAGGGGTCATTGTGCCCACCGTGATCACAAGGCCCACAGAGATCATGACGGGTCGTGGAGGTCATAGGGCTCACGCGGCCCGTGGGGCTCATACTGCTCATAGGTTTGGGGAGGCTCCTTGGGGCCATGCGGCTCGTGGAGCCCGTGGGTCTGATAGATCAGGAATTGATTCATAATTTTCTTATTGGAGGGAGGAGGACCAGGAAGACCAGGACCATGATGAGCAGGAGGAGCAGGAGGCCTCCAGAGGTCCCCCTGACGTCCCTAGGGGCCCCGGGAGGCCTCCCGAAAAGTTCTGGATGTCTCCAGAAGACCAACATTGGCAAAACAAAACAAAAAAAAACAAACAAAACAAAACACAAAAAAAGAAAGAAAAAAAAAAAGTTCACTGCGTGGAGCTCCCCATACGCGCATGCATTAGCATGGGCCTGTCCGCCGTGCGCGTCTAGGCGCAAGAGTTCTCGAATACAAACTAACTGGCTTGAGTATTGACGGTCTGGGAGTGAATCTAACTGTGAATGAGTTGGAGTGTGAATGAGCCTCAATAGTTTTAGTGCGTCGCTGCGCATGAGCCTGGGGCCTTCTGGGGCCTCTTGAGACCTCCTGGCGTTTCCTGGGGCATCCTGGAGCCTCTTGGAGCCTCCTGGGGCCTCTTGGGGCTCCCTGTGGCCTCCTGAAGCATCCTGGGGCCTCGTGTCCTCGTGTGGGGGGCCTCCAGGAGCCTCCTGGAGCCTACTGGGGCCTCCTGGGGATTCGCGCCTCAGAAGAGGCCCAATCTATAGGAACAGACGTAAAACACGTTGGATTGAAGCCACAGGGGAGGGGCAATCTTTAGGAACACACGTAAAACACCAAGGACTCGTGTCCCAAGGGAGGCCCAATCTACAGGATCAAACGTAAAACATTTAGGAAGAGATACACAAGAGAAAGACTACATATATATATATATATATATATATATATATATATATATAGATAGAAACATACGTAAAGCACAAAGGATTCGTGCTCCAGGGGAGGCCCAATCGATAGGAACGTACGTAAACCATCGGGGATTCGAGCCGCTCCTGTGGCCTTCTGAGGCCTCCTGCTACTGGGGCCTCCTGGGGCCTACTGTGGCCTCCTGGGGCCCACTGTGGCCTCCTGGAGCTTCCTGTGGCCTCCTGTGGCCTCCTGTGGCCTCCTGGGGCCTCGTGGCGAGTCCTGGGGCATCCTGGAGCCTCTTGGGGCCTCCTGGGGCCTACTGTGGCCTCCTGGGGCCCACTGTGGCCTCCTGTGGCCTCCTGTGGCCTCCTGATGCTTCATGGGACTTCCGGTGGGCTCCTGGGGCCGCCTGGAGCCTGCAGGAGTCTCCTATAGCATCCTGAAGAGGATCCGTGCTCATGAGTCTGGCCAGCAAAACCAGCAAACCGCTCGAGACATCCTCAAGATCTGGCCCCTCTGGGGTGCAAAAAGCAGCGCCTCGCTCGAGACATCTAAATCTGTTCCGAAAGCGGAGGATGCTGCGCATGCAAACAGGCAAAACGCTGGAGACATCCCCGCCAGTTTGGCGCGAACGGAGGAGCGCAATACCCCCTGACGGCTCCACATTGGGGCTGCTGAAACTCGCGCCTCGCTCGAGAAATCCTCAGAACTTGCTCCGCCATCATCATCATCATCATCATCATCATCATCATCATCATCATCATCATCAGCAGCAGCAGCAGCAGCAGCATCATCATCACCAGCATCATCATCGTCATCAGCATCATCAGCAGCATCCCCATCATCATCAGCAGCAGCATCATCAGCAGCATCATCGTCATCAGCATCACCATTATGCTCATCATCATCAGCAGCAGCAGCAACATCATCAGCATCATCACCACAACCAGCATCAGCTGCATCATCAGCACCATCACCATCACCATCATTATCAACAGCCTGATTACATAAATGCAACATCATAGCATAGCATACCATATCATACCATTCCATAACACATCACAACGCTCACCGCTTAGTAGATCGTAACATGGCTAGCATAATCTAACTTAATATAGCATAACATGGCATAGGATCGCACACCATGACGTAGGATAACATAACATGTCATGCCATACCATACCAAACCACAACAGAAAATAAACAAACAAAGCATACAATGCCATACCACAACATGCCACACCACAGCAAAACATACTATACCATAACAGACCATAGCATAACATAGCAGAACAGCACATACTGAGGCATGCCATACCATCGCATATCACAACACAGCATAGCATAGCATAACATAGCACGAAAAGGAAGAGGAGGCGGGAGGTGTGGGTGAGGAGTTTGGCGCGGTCGGAAGAATAGCAAGAACCCCATCCTCTGGACATGGGGAAAACAACACAAACAAACACCGAAAGAAACACAGCAACCAAAAACTGCCCTCGAACCCCACCCCCTCCCTCCCTCCCTCCCTCCCTCCGCCATCCCTCGTCGGCCGATGAGGACGGCGCGGGGGGGCGGCCCTCTCCGAAGGCGGCGGGACTTCTGAGAAGGCCAAGGGGCCTCTTCGAAGCCCACCCGACTGCTGAGAAGCCTCCTCAAAGCCTCCGGAGCCTTCCTGTTTTATAAGATGTGAAATCATTACTGCTTATGTTTTCGACGCCTCCAGGGCCTTCTAAGAAGCCCCTCCGCCTTTTCAGATAGCTGCCCCCCTGGCACCATCCCCTTTTGGGCGCCGCCCGGCCCACTCCCTCCTCCTCCGGAGGCCCCCCAAGGGGGCCCCCAGCAGATAGGCTCGGAGGATCGCGCCGCACCGCCAATGCCTCGGGGATGCACTGGCGACGTGGGCGTGGAGAAGATCTGGCGCCGCATCGAGCTACATTGCCGATGCGTCGACGACGCGGCGCGATCCTCCGACCCTGCTTACCCTGGCCCCCTTTGGTGGGGGAACCAAAAGGAACCGATACGGCTACTGCCCAGACCTCTCCCGGGGCGTGTTCTGACCAAAATTTCGTGGCGAATCCAACGGTGGCGACGAGGGCTTCCCAGGAGGCCCAAGAGGGGGAGAACGAGGGAAAGGTAGCAGTATGGGTACCTTTCCTCCTCCGAGGAACTGTCCACTTCTCCGTCCCCTGGATCACGCCGTGGCGGCCAAGTCCAAGCCCTGGCGACTCGCCCAGGGAGACGGCCTGCTCCCCATAACGAGCTCGTCCGCGCTGCAGTGGAGGGCTCCGCGCCCCGTCGCGCGGAACTGGTCCAGGTTCGACGTCGCCCTGCCAAGACGAAGCCAAAACGAGCATACGATCGGGTGGAGATAAATCAAGAATGTCCGAAATCCCGCGGCTCTGGAGGTTGTCTCGGGCGTCGCGGCCTCCTCATAATGTTCCGGAACGCTCTCTGCAACGAACGCGTCCTCGTCCTAGCCCCGCCTGGCCTGCCAAGGTTCAGGTTCCAAGGCATCTAGCGTATCAAAAAATTCGAGGTGGCCGGTTTTTCTCCGTTTTCGGCCTCTGGAGCTTTGGAGGTCGGTTCTGGGCCCCGGAACTGTCAAAAAAAACATCCAGGTGACGAACGTACCCCAGTGAAGGGGTCGAGAGATCTGAAGGCCCACGTCTCGAAAAATATCGAGACGCCGGATGTGTGGGTTCGAGGTTCGAGGGTTCAGGCTTTGGGCCAGTGTCCTTAGGTTTAAGGCGCGAGGCTCGGGGCTCTGGCGTTTGGGCGTCTGGCCCTGCGAGGTTCGAGGCTTAAGGGGTAAAATTTCTAGTCGACCGTCTGTGGCCTCCGGAAACCCAAGGGGTCTTCGTCTTCCCAGAACACCATTCCCAGACCACACTTCGAATTCCCGGAGCCAACTGTAGGCCACTTCGTGTTCTTCGTGTTCCCAGATCACCATTCCCAGGCCACATTTTGAATGCCCGGAGCCAACTGTGGGCCACTTCGTGATCTTCGTCTTCCCACAACACCAGTCCTGTGCCATATTTTGAATGCCCGAGCTGAGGCAGGCTGAGGCCGAGGCAGGCTGAGGCCGAGGCAGGCTGGGGCTAAGGCTGAGGCAAGCCGAGGCAGGCTGAGGCTGAGTCTGAGGCAGGCTGAGGCTGAGGCAGGCTGAGGCTGAGGCTGACGCAGGCTGAGGCCGAGGCAAGCTGAAGTTGAGGCTGAGGCAGGCTGAGGCTGAGGCAGGCTAAGACTGAGGCTGAGGCAGGCTGAGGCTGAGGCTGAGGCTGATGCAGGCTGAGGCTGAGAGGCTGACGCCGAGGCTGAGGCAGGCTGAGGCTGAGGCTGAGGCCGAGGCAGGCTGAGGCTGAGGCTGAGGCAAGCCGAGGCAGGCTGAGGCTGAGGCTGAAGCTGAGGCAGGCTGAGGAGGCTGAGGCTGTGGCTGAGGCTGAGGCAGGCTGCGGATGAGGCAGGCTGAGGCTGAGGCTGGTGCAGGCTGAGGCTGAGGCAAGCTGAGGCTGAGGCTGAGGCAGGCTGCGGATGAGGCTGAGGCTGAGGCTGAGGCCGAGGCAGGCTGTGGCTGAGGCCGAGGCAAGCCGAGGCAGGCTGAGGCTGAGGCTGAGGCTGATGCTGAGGCAGGCTGAGGCTGAGACAGGCTGAGGAGGCTGAGGCAGGCTGAGGCTGAGGCAGGCTGAGGCTGAGGCCGAGGCAGGCTCACGAGGCTGAGGCAGGCTGAGGCTGAGGCTGAGGCTGAGGCAGGCTGAGGCTGAGGCTGAGGCTGATGCAGGCTGAGGCGGAGAGGCTGACGCTGAGGCTGAGGCTGAGGCTGAGCAGGCTGAGGCTGAGGCAGGCTGAGGCTGAGAGGCTGAGGCAGGCTGAGGCTGAGGTGAGGCTGAGGCTGATGCAGGCTGAGGCTGAGAGGCTGAGCTGAGGCTGAGGCAGGCTGCGGATGAGGCTGAGGCTGAGGCTGAGGCTGAGGCCGAGGCAGGCTGAGGCTGAGGCTGAGGCAAGCCGAGGCAGGCTGAGGCTGAGGCTCAAGCTGAGGCAGGTTGAGGCTGAGGCAGGCTGAGGCTGAGGCTGATGCAGGCTGAGGCTGAGGCAGGCTGAGGCGGAGGCTGAGGCAGGCTGAGGCTTAGGCTGAGGCTGAGGCTGATGCAGGCTGAGGCTGAGAGGCTGACGCTGAGGCTGAGGCAGGCTGCGGATGAGGCTGAGGCTGAGGCTGAGGCTGAGGCCGAGGCAGGCTGAGGCTGAGGCTGAGGCAAGCCGAGGCAGGCTGAGGCTGAGGCTCAAGCTGAGGCAGGTTGAGGCTGAGGCGGAGGCTGTGGCTGAGGCTGAGGCAAGCTGCGGCTGAGGCAGGCTGAGGCTGAGGCTGGTGCAGGCTGAGGCTGAGGCAGGCTGAGGCAGGCTGAGGCTGAGGCTGAGGCAGGCTGAGGCTGAGGCTGAGGCCGAGGCAGGCTGAGGCTGAGGCCGAGGCAAGCCCAGGCAGGCTGAGGCTGAGGCTGAGGCTGATGCTGAGGCAGGCTGAGGCTGAGACAGGCTGAGGCTGAGGCCGAGGCAGGCGAATCCTTCGGAATCCTTAGGATTCCCTAGGATTCCTCAGGAATCCCTAGGAATCCCTAGGAATCAGGATTCCTAAGGATTCCTAAGGTTTCCTAAGGATTCCTATGGATTCCTAAGGATGCCTAAGGATACCTTAAGAATCCTTAGGAATCCTTAGGATGCCATTGGATCATAAGGCCGTTGCCACTGCGACTGTCATTGCGAATGCGACTGCGACTGCGAGAACAGCAGAATTCTACAACTGGATTCTCACCTGAATCTTAGGGGGAATGCTTCCAGATATGCTTATACACATCGCTGTTAGGTTGCTTAGCCGGGATAAATTTTCTTGTTTGCCTCATAGGACACATCTATCTTCGCACCCCATCGCTAGGCAACCACAGAACCACGGAACCGCATGTTTGCGCAATTGCGGGAGCATGCGTACCCGGGAGGGCGGAAAGTGCCCAAGAAATCGTCCGTTGAACTCTGGCCAACGCATGCAGATTTCAAATTGTATTTCTGGCATCGCAAACAGTACGTGTATTCACTTCGCAAAAGCTTCGGAGCGCTCGGGCGATCGGAAGCCTCTGCAAAGCGCTCGGGCGCTCGGAAGCCTCTGCAAAGCACCCGAGCGCTCCGAAGCCTCTGCAGAGCGCCCATGCGCTCAGAAGCCTCTACAAAGCGCTCGGGCGCTCAGAAGCCTCTGCAGAGCGCTCAGGTGCTCATAAGCCTCTGCAGAACGCTCAGGCGCTCAGAAGTCTCTGCAGAGCGCTCAGGCGCTCAGATAAATCTGCAGAGCGCTCAGGCGCTCAGAAGCCTTTGGAAAGCGCTCAGGCGCTCAGATGCCTCTGCAGAGAGTTCAGGCGCTCAGAAGCTGCAGAAGCCCCTGCAGAGCGCGCGCGCGCGCTTCTGAAGGCTGGTTGTAAAGTGGCCGTTCTGGTTGCAAAGAGCCCCGTCTGGTTTGCAATGTGGTCGTTCCGGTTGTAAAATGGGCAGTTCTGGTTGTAAAATGGGCGCTCTCAAAGGGAAACCAAGATATTCGATCCTGTGCCGGTTGTAGAGTGACCTGCCTCGGTTGTAAAGCGTCGTTCGGGCTGTAAAGGAACCGAATCTCGGTAGACAAGAGGAGGCCGCCAGGGCGCCCAATGACTTACCTCCGATGGTTGCCCCGCCCACTCAGGACGAGATCACAGGCGCAATCGTCTGGCGCCCCCCCCCCCTCCTCGGGATAACACCCCCGCGACCCAAGCCGAGGTCAGCCAACACATGCAGCAGCGCTGTCGTCGCGTAGAGCTGACCAGGTCAGCGAACCCACAAGAAACTGCAAAGGCAATCAACGCAATGCCGCAGCTCATGAATGCAGAAGCTTCCCGCCATGTTCGGATCGTGCCGTCAGTGCAAGTGGGCATTGAGCACGTCATCAGACACCTGCGCACAGGCGACGCTTCTGGCCCCGATGGGCCCCCCTCTGACATTCCCAAGGCTGCTCCCTCGGGCTATGGGACGGACCCTGCGCCCCCTCGGGTGCAAAGTAGCCTTGGCCGCCTGTGAACCGCTGGTTTTCCAGATGGGGGAGGCCACTTTCTGCTGCCAGCGTTCGGGCCCCTCACAATTCGCTCGTTCCCAAGCTCTATCACCGGAACATCAGGGCCCTTGCTTTGGACTGCTTTGGTATGTGTCCTCTTTCTGAACAGCGCGGGGGGTGCTCGCAAGGGCCCTGGGGTGCCCCTTGATGACCTCCGCTCACTTAACTCTGCTGCCATGCAAAACCGACTCTCGTTTCTGTCCCTCTCGCTAGACTTGGTCGACGCTTTCTGCGGCGTCATCGAGCAGTTCGCACCCTCGCTTCCAGGAGAAGAGGATAAGCTTGAGGATGCGCTTGAGCAGGTCTGGTTTCCTATTCGGGGTCCTGGGTCGCGCGGGGTACCTGAGCTTCCCCTCGGCACTGCGACTGCGATTGTTTCAGACGCGTGGTTGTTTGTTTCCCCATGTATGTTCCTTGGCGCATGATTCCTGGGGCGCAGATCGCTGCCTCCAGCAGCATGGCTTGCGGATTGCCGCTCTCGTCTCTCGCGCCAAGGCCGCCCTGGCCCCTATGAAGGCCACGATTGGACCCCGTGTGGCTCTCTCCATTGGCGCCAAGGTTCTATATCATGAAGCCGTATCCGCCTCTGCGTTCCTTTATGGAGCCTGCGCCTGGACTGCGTTAAGACTAACACAAATGACTAAGATGACGACTGCACATGCGGCGGTAGACCGCGCTGCTGCACATGTGCTGGACTTAGCGGCGCGAGTACTGCACGATGTTCAGCGTCATCCTCTACATATGGTCTTGAGTATTGCGCGCCTCAGGTAGATTCTACGCATGATTGCACATGTGCCGCCATTAGTACGCACGTAGGCTGATCTCACTTGGCATGACCCAAGAGGGTGGGCCCAACATCTGGACCAGGACGTCCCGTGGCTACTGTTACCCACAGACCCCATCCAAGAGGCAATCAGAAACCTCTGCCATAGGTATGATGCGCTTTGTTAGATCACACAGCACGCCTTTCCGAGATTGATCGGGCTCATGTGGCAACGAGACCTCAAGATCATTGCTAAAAGCACCCCCCCTTGCCTTTGACCCACCCCCTGCCTCTGTGTTCCAGTGCCCATCGTGCGCTCATGCATCGGAGTCTGAACAGGCCATGCGTGCGCACATGTGAAATTTGCGATTCGCCCACCACCTTAGGTGTAGCACCAGTGTGCCAGATGTGCTTGAAAGATTTCGGTAACGTTCCCAGGTTGACAGAGCATATCAGAAAATCCCCCTCTTGTCGCGCATCCTGGGGGCAGCGCTTGAGCCCTCGCACCCATGAGGAGTTGGAGCAAGCACAAAGCGAAGCTCGGCATGAAGAGTTAGAGAGTGCTGACGACCGCGCTAAGCGCAGGCTTGCCAACTTTACAGCAGCCCCTCCTCGTCAGTGTCAAGGACCTGCCAGTGCGCCGAAGGTTGCACTCACAAGGAAACAGGTCAAGGGGTTGAGCCTCCCGACGATCCAGGCCACCAGGTGTTTGATCCTCGCCCGCTCCCTTTCCGCCCTGTTATGGTAAGTATCTCCTCCATCTGTTCTCGGGATTTGGGAGGGAGCATAATTTCCAGGGGCTCATTAATTGGAGAAAGAATCGTAGACTTCCCGACCCCTGTTGCTGTGCTAAGTGTGGACGTTGCTAACCATCCAGTTAACGGTGGTTTAACAACCCCTGCCACCAATACGTTGCGGACTCGAATGATCCGGTCAGGGCGTGTCGCAGCGTTACTTGCAGGACCCCCTTGTGAAACATGGTCCACGGCACGCTATCTCCCCGTGCCCCTGGATATCCCAGAAGGGCATCGCCCCGAGGATCAGCTCTGGGGCTCGGTCATGCTTCGGCCCGCGAGCGGGAGCAACTGTGGCTTGCGAGCGTCCTGCTTCGCTCAACCATGAGGTTCCTTTCTATGAATTCTGAATATACAGGGTCCTTGCTGTCATGAAACGCCCCCCCATCAGTGCCAGACTTCCTGAAGCCCCTAGTTCCTGGAAGTTGCCCCAGCTTCAGAAACCTATGGCCCTCCCACATGTGTGCTTACCACATTCACCTATGTATGTTTGGGGCCAGAAAAGCTAAAGCCCACGACGCTAGTGGCTGTTCATGTGGGCTCCATGGGGGCCCTGCTGGAGACCAAAGAAAAGAGGGCCATGGTCGTTGCACCCATTCAAGGCCGCACCGCGGCCTCTGGGGACTTGGCGAGGACAGCCTTTGGCGCACCTCCCACCTCAAGACCTACTCCCCTGGGCCGTGCCGCTTCCTCGCAGCGTGCGTCCTCCACGAAATGAGGATCGAATTCCCCGAAGTATGCTGCCAGACCGACTGGAGACAGTGGACCTCGACGAGTGTGACGACGGATGGAGCGTGCCGGCTAGTCTCAGACAGTTTATAGCGCCCCTGGACCCTCACCTAGCACCTGGGATTGCCATGGCCTGTATGATCCATCGTGCCCCTGGTGTGCCGATCCTGTGACAACCACGGCTCTTCTCTCTCCTCTCTGTTAATGTTGTTGTTCTGTTTTGTCCTCGGTTGCAGAGCTGTTGCGCGAGCAGCAACGTCATTTACACTGGCGAAGGGCATTGTAGGGAAGGGAAGCCGCACCCGCGGGTGCCGCTTGGCGCGCCACCATCTTGGCAGCACCTACAATGTGTGCTGTGACTCATTCAGGGTGCAGCTGCGCCTCAGGCAGTAACTAGTTGTCGTGGGGGGAGGTTTCCGCTTGTCCAACTCTATCATGCATGTCTTTTAACTGTCTCGAGTCTCATCCGCTCAGTGATAGTACCCTGGTCTCTTGTGTCCACGTGTGTGACTGCGCCTTGTGCGCTGCAGCTGTTGTGAGTCCGCCTAGCCGTTCTGCTCCTGCCGCCTGCTGTGCTCTTTCCTCTTTGGGCTATCTCGCCACTTTCTCACCATACTGGCACCTATTGTCCGCCGTCCGACCGACCGACCGAGGAGGCAGGGGAGGAGTTTGGGTGGTGAGAGGGGAGGGAAGAAGGAATTTAGCTGGTCCAACTGACAGAGCCTGCCGTAGGTGAAGCCCAGCGTGACGTCGGATGCTCGGAGGGCAAACGTCGACCCCCGCCACCAGGCCTCAGAGCCAAGTCCTCCCCTCGAGGCTCTCTGGAGAATCACGGCTCTTCAGATCGGCCCCTGGACCTCTCCTGGGGCGCGTCGTGGCCAGAGTGCCCAAGCGAATCCAGCCCTAGCCACGAGGATACACCAAGAGGCGCCAACAGCGTCTCGGCATGCCAGGGGCGGTCTCGAACCCCCAGCCCCAGGGCGCGGAGGCCGCGCTGGATGTCCAGACCGCCCTGCTGGACTACCCTGGGGGCCTGCAGGAGGCGAGCTGTGACTACTTTCGGGAGCGGCCAAGAGGGGGGTGTCCAAGAGGGGGGGGTGCAAATCATGACCAGCGGCATGTGCGCGGCCCAGCGGGGGAGCCAGGGACGTAATGGAGTAAGAAGAGGCGCCATGAAATCGGGGGAAACATCGTGGCCCCCGCCATGATATCCCCCCCCTGGTCGTCATCGCCCCCCTCTTTTCCGCCCCCGATACCTCTGGGCACGCTGGGGGGCCTGCCGGTCGACGTTTCCCCCTCCGGGATTTGTGGGTGTCGAACCCGGGCAGGAAGCCCGCGTAGCCAGGGACGCCGGGCGGCGCGCACAGGAGAGAGGGCGAGGGGGCGCGGCGACGGGGGCGCCGCCCTCCGAGAGGGGCGCCCCTCGCCGCCGACTCGAGGAGTGCCCCTCGGCAGCCTCCAAGACGATCGGCTAAATACACCGAAGGGGCCCCAGGACACACAAACAGATGCACACAAGTAAAAAGGTTCCCCATCTTTTCCCATGTTTTCGGGGGTTCTGTCTTCCCCCCCCCCCACACTTCCCATATTTTCCCATATTCCCTGGGGGTCGACGATTAATTGTGTCTGTGTGTTTTTTCCCCTCCTGATGCACGCAAGAGTGGCCCCAGGCAAGGACCTCCGGCGCGCGGCGTGCCGGGGGGCGCGGGGGTGGCCAGACCTGGGCGCGCAGGCCGCTGCTACCGCTCCGCGCCCAGCGATCGGGGGACCCCGTTATGGCGAAAGGACACTCTTACGTCTAGTCGAGAAGAGAGGGGGGGGGGGGGGGAAAGCGATCCCTATGAAGGAGCAGGCATGCCCTCTCAGAAAACCGCCCCCCTCCCCTCCGAGGCTACTCTCGGAAGGGAGGCCCTTGGCAGAGCAGGCCCCTCTGGGGCAGCCTCCTCAGCAGGTCGTCCCCCATCACCCCGCCCCCTCTTGGCGGCGCGCATGAGGGTGGTGGGGGGAGAGGGGAATGCTTCTTAGAAGGAGGCTGCTTCTCAGGCAGCGCGAACCTTGCGTCTGTAGATACTGGCCGCGCCTTCCAAGAGGCATGGTGCTTCTGAGAAGCCTGCCCCCCTCGCCCATGCCCCCGTTGCGCGTGGCGGACCCTCCTCTCCCAGACGTCTGGCGCCCCGATGCCTCATCGAGCTGTGGGGCCCGAGGCCTCTCTGAGACGAAGCCAGGACGAGAATGAGATCGGGTGAAGATACGTCGAGAATCTCTGAAATCCCGGGGCTTTGGAGGATGTCTCGGGCGCCGCGGCCTCCTTAAAGCGTCCGGGAACGCTCCGAAAGCATTCTGGAACGCCCTCTGAAACGGACTGACCCTCGTCCCCCCCGACCTCTCGACCGCCTCCCTGGAGCCCGTTCTTCATCCCCAGTCGGTGTTGTTGACGGTCCGAGGAGGGGCACGGACCTCAGCGCCTCCCTCAAGGGCAGAGCCCGAGAGGGAGGAGGAGGAGGAGGAGGAGGAGGAGGAGGAGGAGGAGGAGGAGGAGGAGGAGGAGGAGGAGGAGGAGGAGAGGAGGAGAGGAGGAGGAGGAGGACGAGGAGGAGGAGGAGGAGGAGGAGGAGGAGGAGGAGGAGGATTGGGAAGAGGAGAGTGGGGAGGAGGAGCCAGTGGGCCGAAAATCCAGGAGGACCGGCCGCCTCGCTTTCTTGCCGAGGCGCCAGATGCCTGGGCCCTGCTCCTTGCGCGCCACCAGGGCTGTGCGAGGACGCGCCCCGCTTTGCGGCGGCCTCCCCCCCGCTGAGGCGCGAGACGCGGTTGGAGCTCGACAGCGCCCTGCTCGCGTACGAGACCTGCTGGGACCCGGGCGAGCTCGCGGAGCGGCGCATCGAGGGGCTCGAGGCGCCGTCGTGGCTCCAGAGCCGCCCGACCCCACCCCTGAGACCCAAAGGCCTCGAGGAGCAGGGAAACGGCACAAACAGAAACTTTCGGAGCCACGGGGGGTCCAGCGCCGATCCGAGAAGTCCGCGCGGAGCTCCGAAAGCGTATGTGTGCGTTTGCTCTTCGAGGGTCGTGACGAAAAAGCACCGACGGCGTCTTCGCCCGAGACCCGAGGCCCTGGGGGAATCTCGAGCCAATCTGGCCGGAGGAAGGAGTCGGAAAGGTATGTTTCGAGAACGGCGTGTGCTGTTTTTACGACGTCGGCGTCGTTCTCGGGGCTTGGGGCCACCAGGCGCGTGAGCCATGCCCTTTCACTCTGAGGGCGCCCTTCACAGTGAGGTCGCCCTCCATCACCCTTGGCAATAAGCTGGGGCACCAAGCAAGCCGTTCGCACTGATCCCCTGCACGGTACAGTCGAAACTGATAATAAGAACGCACGATAAGAATGCAAGGGCCTTGGAAGGCCATGCCGAAGCCTTTCGAACTGGACTGGCCGAGAGGATCCGCTCCGATGATTGAAAACATATTCTCAGACTCTTGGCATGAAGGATCGGGGTTCGCAGGGTGGCGGGTCCTGAGTATATTCAGGGCCGCCCCCCCTGGCAGCAGTTCTTCACCCTGGGGAGTCGATTCACGGTCCTGAGGCTTGGGGAAGGCCCTCAAGAGGGCCAAACGAGGCGGAAAGCCTCAGGACACCGTTTCCCCAACACCGATCGTTCTTCACGAGCGGCACACACACATCCGTGTGCGACGAGGCAAGAATTCCAACCGGACGGTCCAGATCCCAACCTGACGGCCCAGATACCAACCGGTGGGATATTAGGAACGGTCCAGATCTCGACCGCCGGACAAAGCTATGTAAAGCGTTGTTTTTGCATGATCGTCGTGGCAATGAAAAGTAATGGCTTCCCTCAAGGGAACACACTCGGCTATCATAGTGCGCAGTTGGTATATCGACCGCTCCACTATGCTATTATATGCGAGTTCTATGTGCTCCAAGAAGGCCCGTCATCGGCACAAGGCACTCCAATACGGCATTGTATACGAACGCATACGAAACGTGTGCGACACGTGTACCAAACGTTTACGATATGTATGGACGCGCATCCGACAGCTAGCAGAAATGCATACGAAATGTATGCGGTACGTCTCAAAAAAAAACGCATGCGAAACGCATGTCCGACGCAGACGAAACGTATACGCAACATCGATGACACGTCCATGACAATAGGTATCCCTCAGGAACCCGCACAAATCCGATAGGAATCATCCAGGAATCCGTAAGGAGCCCTCAGGAATCTGGACGGGAATCTTCAAGAGAATACGGAAGAATCTCTCGGGGATCCGTCGGAAATGCTCAAGCATCTTCAAGAATCCGCAGGAATCCATCAGGAAGCCATCAGGAAGCTTCAGAGGAATCTCCAGGAACCCCACAGCAATCCCCCAGGAACTCCAAGAATCCTCAGGACTCCCGCAGGAATCCTCAGGAAGCCGTCTGGAATCCCATCAGCCCTCTGGGCATAGGTGGTCTAGGGCGTTTCCTCTTCCACCCCCTTTCTTCCCCTCCGGGAAGGGGTTTATCACTGTTCCCTACTAAAAGACACCCACTCCCCCACCTGGCTGGCGGCCAACCCAGAATCATGCGGGCTCCCACCCCACCATCCCTGTCCCAAAAATGCAAAATCCACATTGCGGGACCCACCCTGCCAGCACCTTCCACAATCCCTGTCAACAAAAAATTGTGATAACGGAGTTCCCCACATGAAGATATAAACGGTTTCGTGGGACCCATGGGGTACGATAACATCAACACGAAGGAGAAGCTCATCGAACGAGTAAGTACGCACGGAAGGGCAGACGAAAGAAAGGAGGAGGAGGACAGGTGCTCAGGAAACGAAGCCTTGTAAATAGTACGGTTTCTTGATACCCTCCTCGCTCTGGCGGGGCCCCGCTGAAGGGGGGAGGGCTACGAAACCTGGTAAAGAGTAATGCTTTCCGCGACCCTCCTCGTTCAAGCGCGGCCTCTCTGGAAGAGTGGAGGGGGGACACGAAACCGTGTAAACTGCATTGTTTTCCGATACCCTCCTGGAGGAGGAGGAGGAGGAGGGAGAGGATAAGATTGATGATGGTGAAGAGCAGCAGCAGTATCATCATCATCATCATCATCATCATCATCATCATCAATCATCATCATCATCATCATCATCATCATCATCATCATTCATCATCATCATCATCATCATCATCAGCATCATCATCATCATCATCATCATCATCATCATCATCATCATCATCATCATCATCATCATCATCATCATCATCATCATCCATCATCATCATCAGCATCACCATCGTCAGCGTCATCGTCATCATCATCATCGTCGTCGCCATCATCGTCATCATCATCATCATCATCATCATCATCGCCAGCATCATCGGCATCAGCACAACCATCATCATCATCACCATCCTCATCATCATCAGCATCATCATCGTCAGCGTCATCGTCATCATCATCATCATCATCATCATCATCATCGTCGTCGCCATCATCGTCATCATCATCATCATCATCATCATCATCATCATCGTCATCATCATCACCATCACCGTCCTTGGCATCATCATCGTCCGCATCATCGTGGACGTCATCATCATCAGCATCATCGTCGTCATCATCATCAACAGCACCAGCAACGTCAGCATCAGCAGCAGCATCGTCATCATCACCAGCATCTGCATCATCATCCTCGTCGTCGTCGTCGTTGTCATCATCGTCATCGTCATCATCATCATCGTCATCATCATCATCAGCATCATCATCTTCATAATCGCCGTTATCGCCATCGTCATCGTCCATCACCATTATCGCCATCGTCATCGTCATCGTGAAAAGCAGCATAACCATCGTCATCACCATCATCATGATGAAGCCTTCCTCATCGCAGAACTCCCCCTCCTCCTCACCCTTCTCAGTGGGAGGAGTAGGACGTGAGATGGATAGGTAATGTTCCCCCCTCCTCCCATGTCAGTGGGAGGGGCACGAAACCATTTAAATAGTGTGGGTTTCCGATACCCTCCTCGCTCAGGCGGGGCCTCCCTGGAGGGGTGGGAGGGGCACGAAACCATGCAAATAGTATGGTTTCCGATACCCTCCTCGCTCAGGCGGGGCCTCCCTGGAGGGGTGGGATGGGCACGAAACCGTGTAAATAGTATGGGTTTCCCATACCCTCCTCGCTCAGGCGGGGCCTCCCTGGAGAGGTGGGAAGGGCACGAAACCATCTAAATAGTATGGGTTTCTGATACCCTCCTCCCTCAGGCGGGGCCTCCCTGGAGGGATGGGAGGGGCACGAAACCATGTAAATGATATGGGTTTCCGATAGCCTCCTCGCTCAGGCGGGGCCTCCCTGGAGGGGTGGGAGGAGCACGAAACCATGTAAGTAGTATGGGTTTCCGGTACCCTCCTCGTTCAGGCGGGGCCTCCCTGGAGAGGTGGAAAGGGGCACGAAACCATGTAAATAGTACGGGTTTCCGATACCCTCCTCGCTCCGGCGGGGCCTCCCTGGAGGGATGGGGGGGGGCACGCAACCATGTAAATAGTATACGTTTCCGATACCCTCCTCGCTCAGGCGGGGCGGGGCCTCGTTGGGCCTCCCTGGAGAGGTGGGAGGGGCACGAAACCATGTAAATAGTACGGGTTTCCGATACCCTCCTCGTTCAGGCGGGGCCTCCCTGGAGAGGTGGGAAGGGCACGAAACCATGTAAGTAGTATGGGTTTCCGATACCCTCCTCGCTCAGGCGGGGCCTCCCTGGAGGGAGGCGGGAGGCGGGAGGGAGAAGGAGATGATGTTCTGGGAAAACAAGAACCCCACTCAGGATGTGGGGAACAATACGAAGTTCACATTGCAGCAGAATCTGGACAGTGCGCTGGCGCCCTGTGAGCACGTTGTATTGTTTGTTGACAGTGATGGCGGGGCCCCCTTAGTGAAGCCGCTTTGTGCAGGACCACCATCCGTGCCACAAACAATGCAAAGCGCACGTTGCGACAACGTCGTGGATATTGTGCTGGCCACCCGCGATCAGTTTGTATTCTTTTTTTTGACCGGGACGGCGGTGGTGCCACCATGATGATGCTTGCCGCGCGCAGGCCCAGAACAATGCTGACGCCCCCACATCAGCACCTGGACCATGCGGACGGGGGGCATCACTCGTTTACAAGGATGGCACACCAGACGCATGTGGAGCCCGCGGCGAGTGTCGCGCACCTGGCGTCCGCTTTGGTTCCCAGTGGCTGTCCATCCAGTGGCGACCCCTGACTATGTCGAGACTCGGATGCCACTTATGTGGCGGGAGGGCGGGTAGGAGTGAGCTAGACGGTTTGCATGCGGAGAGGGTGTCTTGACCCCTCCCCCTACCCCCTACCCTGGACCTGGGCTGGGGGGGGTCGCGAGCGGTCGGGGCGTCCGACATGGCCCAAGACGGCTCCAAGAGGGCCTCACAGAGCCCAATATGGCCTCCAAGATGGATCACGATAGCGCAAAATGCTTCAAGATGGTTTCCAACATGTTCCATAATGCCCCGAGAAAGTTCCAAGACGGCTCCAAGTGGCCAAAGAGCTCCCTATGGAAGCAACGAAGAGGCCAAAATCCTTCCAAAACCCATTGGACATTCATGCGTTTTGCTTTCTCGCGCTTTCGCTTCTGATGGCCATCCGAGGCTCCAAGTTTGCTCCAAGATGGGCCAATCGGGCCCCAAGAGAGGCCCAAGAGAGCCCCAAGACGGCCCCAAGAGAGGCCAATAGAGCTCAAGAGCGCAACAAGAGCGCCACCAGAGCGCCCCAAGAGGCGATTTTGGGGGCTCCCGAGGGGATGCGCTAATTGGAGCTCCCCTCTTGTTTGACTGATGGCCTCCAAGATGGCACGAAGGGCGCCCCGAAAGCCCCCAAGATCGCCCCAAGAGGGCCCCAAGAGGCTCCTAAGAGACCCCCGAGGGACCCCAAGAGGCTCCCCGAGACGCTCCAAGAGGCTCCCGAGACAGCCAAGAGGCCCCCAAGACGCAAGAGAGGCCAAAGAGAGCCCCAAGACGGTCCCAACAGCTCCCGAGAGTGCCGAGAGAGACTTTTCCTCTGCGTGCTGCCCACTTCCTTGATCGAGGCAAATCCCCTGGGCATAGTCTCTGGATGGGCTGGTGGGGTTATTCTTGCTCGCAACCGCAAGCGAACTGCCGCGCGGCGTCGTGGAGTCGCACGAAAACCAAGCCTACAGCGGGCAGGACAGAGGCCCACACTACCGCAGGCGAGCGCGGAAAAATGCAAGAAATGAGGCGGGCAGCAAGCCGGGCAGGACCGAGGCCGAGCGCGGGCGGCGAACGAACAGCGAAAAGGGCCAGGCGACGAACCTCAGCTCAGCTCAGAAGCCGAAGACCACGAGCCCGAGCACACCTGTGACCTCGACCTCCTCGAAGAGTCACACCACATCTCCGACAAAGCGTGCGCCAATGCGGGAGAACATGCACCCGTCGTCAACCGCTGGTGGGGTTACGCGACGCGTCAAGAATTTCCTAGGAATGCCTGGAGAATCTCTTGGACTCCGGAGCCCCCAAGAACTTCTCGGAAATCCAAAAAGATACCCTCACGAATCCCTCAGAAATCCTCTAAGTCCCCCAGGAAACCGATAGAAATTCCTCTGGCATCCCTAAGGAATCTTCTGGACTTGTTAGGAATCCCCTTGAATCCGCAAGATTCCTCGGGGATCCCTCAAGAATCCTTCAAGAATCTTCCGAAAATCCTCAGGAATCGCTCCGGACCCCGCAAGAATCCCTCAAGAATCTGTTCAAAACCCTCAGGAATCTTCAGGAATCTCCTGGAACCCAATAGACACCCACGGAATCTTCTGGGATCCCCCAGGGAGCCTGAACCCTCAAGAATCCTTCAGGAATCCCTCAGGATCCCCTGAGGAAGGCCTAGGGAAGCCTCATGAATCCTCACGGATCCTCAAGCATCCCTCAGAAAGTATTAGAGAAACCCACTGAAATCCTGCACGAAGCAGAAGAGGCGCCTTCAAAGGAAGCGCCTACGAAGCGCCTATGCAGCGCCTTCCGTGCGCGTCAAGCGCTTGGAATCTCAAATAAGAATGGTTGGGATCTGGACCGTTCCAGCCTTCTTACAGGTTGGGATCCGGACCGTCTGGTTGGCCCTCGCGGTCTGGATTCTGGGGCGCGATCCCGCGGATACGCGGTCGCACGGATAGGCTCCGCGCCGGGCATCCGCGAGACAACAACGCCCCCATATCCGCGGGGTCGCGGCCCAGGGGCCCAGCCCCCGAGGCCGCGGATACGGACATGATTTTCGCCCAGGATCTCTTCCTGGTGCAACCGTGGTTTTCGAAAAAAAAAAAAAAAAAAAAAAAAAAAAAAAACGCCCATCCGCATTTCTCGTTGAAGCGCGTCCAACCCCGGGCCCCAATTTCAAAGTTGGGGGCGTCCGACGCGGGGGAGTGCGAATCGTTTCGAGATGAGCGCCCACTTTTGCAAAACGCTTCCTGCGCGACAGGATGAACATTGAACCTTGGGGGCGTGGGGGCGAGCTTGCGCCGCCCCTTGCACGTTGCCGATGGGCGCTTTTGTGCGAAAACACCGGAAGTATGACCCCCCCCGACTTCTTGATGTGTTTCGAGGAGCGCTGTGCAAGAAAAGAGCTCTACGAGGTGCCCGGCGGTAACCTGGTTGACGGTTTACCGCGGTTCCGAGTTGGCCCACCCGGCCGAGGCGGACAATGTGACAACTTTTGGGTGGTTTTGCGAATATTTGAAATATATGTGTCTCTTCCCTTTTTGGAGGAGGGCGCACTTGATGACGCGCGCTCGCCGTGGGAGACGCGCCGACGGCTCGCGCGGCCGGCGCCCGTGGATGCGCACGTGGTGCCCCCCCCCCCCGGGCTGCCCGCTCCGGCTGCAGCCGCTGCTCCTCTTGCGGGGCGGGGGAGGAGGAGCAGCTGCGGGACGGGGAAATTGGAGGGGCCCCAGGACACACAAATAAATACACACAGATAAAAAGATTCCCCATATTTTCCCATATTTTCTGGGGTTTTGTCTTCCCCCCCACTTCCCATATTCTCCCATATTTTCTGAGGAATCGACGATTAATTGTGTCTGTGTGTTTCTTTCCCTCCTGAAAAATGACCACAGCCACTGCTCCCAGCCGGCCGAACAAGAAGCAGTGGTTGTGGTCATTTCCCTGGTGCCAAGCTCAACGAAAATGACCACAACCACTGCTTTGTTTCTGCTGGCTGGAGGGCGGCAACAAAAGAAAAGCAGTGGCTGTGGTCGTTTTCACGCCCCGTAGCAGCTCACACTAGATGGGGCGGAGGGGGAAGGAGGCCGACAGCTCTGCTTCCCGGCCTCTGCCCGCAGAGCGCCGGCGCGCCGCCGGGCTTCGCGCGGCAGTCTGCCCTCCGGCAGCGGGAGATTCGTGAAACTCTGCTTGATTCTTGTTCGCGCGGCACTTTTGACAGAAGCCCTTGTCAAATTGAGGAGTGCGGCGTTCAATATTCCGACTCCAGGGGGTCTAAGCCCACCCCCTTCCAAGATCAATCATGCCAAAAAGATGTGGCTTGTTTCGTAAAACGCGCAGTGCCGCCGCCAAATCAAATCAGGCCAAAATCAAAATCTAGCCTCCAAATTGTATTTTGGCGCGGCGCCTTCGCCAAGTATCAGTTTGCGGCACATGACAACGCGACCGTGTCTATGGCCACTGCCTGGGGAACCGAAGTCCTGGGACCCCATGGGGCGGTGGATATGGACATGCTTGTACCCCGGGGGGCTCCGAATATGTCCACGTCCACCGCCTGCCGAGGGCCGCGAGGACCAATCCCCCAGGCGGCGGCTGTGGATAAACCCCCGCCGCGCATGCTGCGGCCGCCAGAGGTCTGCCAAGAAGCTGGGCGGCCCGAGGCCCTCCCCGACGGAAGAGGCGCGAGCCCGGCGAATCTGGCTCCACCCGGTCACGGACAGCGGCGAGGCGAGCGCGCTCGAGGACAGCGAGCGGTCCTTGACCTGCCTCTGCGCCATGTCGCCCCGGGCGATGTCCGCCCTCTGGAGGTAGTTCCTGCAGCACCGGGAGGCCGGAGCAGACACGAGCACACAAGCAAACACTCTCGGGAGCCCACGCTGCTGGGGCGCAGAGCCACTCGGGCGAGCCAGCAGCGTACACCCTGCGAAATGCTCAAGAAATCATGGGTTAAGAAATTCACAGTCTCAGAAATTTAATAAAACCCAGAACTTCTATCAAAATCTTGGGATTTACATTGGAAAATTAAGAATAATCGAGACTCTGGACGAAAACTTAGGTTTTCTTAAGCATCGCCTAAGGTGTAGGCTCTAGAGCACATACACACACACACACACACACACACACACACGTTCTAGTTTTTTGGCGTCGCGGCCACGCGCGCAGCGGCGCGGCGCAGCGAAGGTCGAGCGGGAGCGAGACGCGCGCGGGCCGGCCCAGATCGCGCGGCGTGGAAGCACTGGATCCGCCCACAGGGGATCGGCAGCATCACTCGCGGGGGGGCAGTGGCGAGGGGAGCAGCGGGGGAGAGGGGAGAAGGGAGAGACGCGAAGCGGGAAACGGCAGAGGAGCAGTGCAGCAGCGACACACACACACACACACGCACACACACACACACACACACACACACACACGCACACGCACACGCACACACGCACACACACACACGCACACGCACACACACACACACACACACACACACACACACACACGCACACGCACACGCACACGCACACGCACGCACGCACGCACGCACGCACACGCACACGCACACGCACACGCACACGCACACGCACACACGCACACACACACACACACACACACAGACTTGTTTGGTGATCACGGCCTCGCGCGAAGCGACGAGGGGGAGAAACTCCCCAAGCAGCGATACACACACACACACACACACACACCTTTTGGCGTCACGGCCCTGCGCACGGGACAGGGCGTAGCAGGTCGGAAAACAGGGAAGCGCGGGCCTAAGCCAAGCCAGTCCGAGCACTCAACACAAACACACACACACACACAGACGCAACAACACACCCAGACACGCTCACATGTTTGGGCTCCAGCAGGGAGGGTCAGCGAGGCAGCGCAGCACCAGCACGTCCAGAAGTCCGCGGCTGCGCGCGCGGCGGCTCAACAGAGAGAGTGGCCGGGCCCCGATGGGGCAGCAGTGGCGGGGCGGCAGCCGCAGCCAGGCAGCCTAAGGGCAAAGGAGGGCGGCACGGGCCGCCGGGGGGGCAGCAGGGAGGGGGGGGGGGGGGGGGGGCCGGGCGCCGGGGCGAGGGGCCGCGGGGCGGCGGCGGGCGGGCAGGGAGGGGGGCCGGCCCCGGGTCCCGGGCCCGCGACCGAGCGGCGCGCCCGAGGCGCCCACGAGAGCTATAGGCTGGCGAGGAAGAGCGGCCGGGGCAGGAGGCCAGGGGCCGAAGGGAGAGGGGCGCCCCACATGCAAGGGGAGGGCCCGCGGAGGCCGACCAGGGCGAGGGGCGGCAGGGCAGGGGCGCGCCACGGCGGAGCCACGGCGGGGCGGAAGTCCGGAGGGGCGCGGCGAGCGGCCCGAGGACCGCGCCTGGCGGCGATCGGCACGGAGGGCCCATGTGCAGCAAGAGGCCCTCCGTCGGGATGCCGCTCACAAAGAGAGGCAGCAGGAAGAGAGCGGCGGATGGCCCACGAGGAGCCCAGGCGGGTCCACGCGGCGGGGTGCGCCGCAGGGCCCCAGAAGAAGGGCACGGGGCGATCAGCACAGAGGGCCCACCCCGGCAATCGGCTTGGAGCCCTGGCCCGCCCGGATGGCACGGGTGAGGGGACGGGATGAAGATGACTACCTACCAGACCACCCCAACCCAACCCGAAGACCCGAATTTCGGGTTGGGGAGGGTAAGGGTTCCACACGAGTTTTTTCGATGTTTCCCGACCCCCCCCCCACTGGAAATCGAGGGTAAATCTGAGCCTTCGGGTTGGGTTGGGGTGGTTTGGTGGGTGGTGAGAAGAGGGCGGCCAACCGCGGCGATCAGCACAGAGTGCCCAGCTGGTGATCAGCAGACACGGGGGGTGGCGCCGAGGAAACGGAAGAGCTGTACCGGTGGCCATCCAAGTAGGCTGGGGGCGAACAGAATGTCTGCAGAAGACCGCGAAGCGAGGTGGGCACCGCAGTCCGAGACGGAACCCGGAGCGATCAGCACAGGAGGCCCACCCTGGTGGAGGCGCCCCCAACGATAGGCGGGAGCCAAAGCGCTCAGTGAGACGGGGCGCGCGCCGAGAGTTGGAAGGCGGCCCGAAGGACGGCTGTCGCGTCCGGGCGGAAGGACACGCCGCGGGATGGCGGCCAGGGGCGGGAGACCGGCCAAAGGGCCACGGGGCAGAAAGGCGCGCCGTGATTGCACGGACCGCCACGGCCCAGGCGTAAACTCCGCAGGCGAAGAGAAAGTGGCGCAGGCACACGCACCAGCGAGCCGCCAAAGCTCAAAGAGAAAGCCGAGCGACCGAGAGAGGGACAGGCCTAGGGATGTGCAAAGTGGCCGTTTGAGAGACCCAACAAGGGAAATTCCCACACCCCGTGAAACATCATATTCCGTAGGCACGCTTTGCACATCCATCAAACAACGGCATCGCGAAACAAGCGCAGATAGCCAAAACGGGAAAGCGAAAAACGCAACGATCACCAACCAGGAAGTCGAAACGTCGTCACTGTGCACAGACGCCGCGAATGCATACTGAATAACCTGAACATGAAAAATGGGGACATTGAAGAGAAGTGGAAACCGAAAGCGCTCCGACACGCCGGGGCGAAGTGGCGAGACCCGAAGCAAAGAGGATGCCAGAGGCAGGCGGCCAGAAAGACGCGCAAGGGGCGAAGCGGCGCGCCGTGGCACCAGGGCAGAGCACATGGCGGACAGGCCGCCTCGGCCGACCCGCCGGGCGGGTGGGAACAGGCACCGAGAGCTCGGCAGCCCGGGAAAGGGCAGGAGACGGCAGGAGGGCGTCGAGGACGACAAGGGCGGGCAACACCGCGCCCGAGTCGCCCGAGATGGACCCCCCAGAGGCGGGGGAGAGAGCATCGCGGAGGGGCTCGCTCACCTCAGGGTTCCTGGACGCACCACGAATCGTAAGCTCCACGGAGGGCGCTGCGGATCCGCCACACGGTGGGGCCGCCCGGAGGAGGCGGCCCGCGTGTCCCGAAGGGCGTGATGGTGGCCTCCGGGCGGGTGTCGCTGTCGTCGTCGGACCCGTCGTCCGGAGACGGAAGGGTCGTCGTCGCGCGAGGCCAACTGACGCAGTCGAAGCTGAAGAGGCCGCACCTGCAACCACAGGTCGGCGGGACGTCGCCTTCCGCGTCGGCGCCCGAGGAGCCCCCGTGACTCGAGGGGGCGCCGCTCTCGGCCCGGGGTGGGGCCGCGGGCTGCGCCGGGGGGCGCTGACCGCGGGCGCGCCGCCCCTCGGCCCCGCAGACGCTGACCCGCCGCGAGCTCTGGGCGGAGGGCGGGCCCGCGCCCCGGCGCCGAGGCTCCCCGGTCAGCAGCGGCCAAGGCCTCCCAGAGGCGCGCATGGGATGGACAGGGTGGAGCGCGCAGGCAGGACGGCCTCGCCCACCCTGCTCGGGATGGTGTGGCCTTGGGAGGCAGCCCACCTGGCGAGGTCTTGCTGTGGCCTGAGGTCCCGGAGCAGGACCTGGGCGCCGCAGGCACCCTGGACGCGGAGATGCGCCCTCAGGACGGCGGGAGGCGAGCCATAGGCATGTGCGCATAGCTGGAGCCCGGACCGAGGACAGAGGCCCGCCAGAGGAATGG